GCGGGGTCGCCGGCGGAGAGCGGTGGCCTCGCGCCGAGTGGACTGGCGGGGGACGCCGCGGCCCGGGCAAGTGTAGACACGGTGGAGGCGGAGGCGGAGGGGTGAACGGCCGGGATGTGGGTCCAGCCGCAGCGGCCCTTTCCCCTCAGCCTGCCGCAGCGGCTTGGGTTTTAATTCATTGCTGGAAGCTTCCGAGCCAGGAGAGCCGACTTAATTCATTTCCCTGGGACAGGATTGGGGACTTTTTGCGGGGTGGCTAGCAGATCCCGAAACTGCCCTTTGCGCCCATCGGGAAGGCGTGATGTGCGGTGTCTGCAGATAGAAATTCGCCCTTGACCTTCCCTGCCCGCTCTCTGCGGCCAGCCCTGCGGAAGAGACAAGTTTTGGTGACTTTTAGTTTCTCCTGAATTGTAAGCAGTGCCTTGACGTGGGCAGGCATTCATTTGCGCCTTTGGGATGTAAATAAGGCAAGGTTTTCGGAGAGCTGCCTCGGGGAGCAAGTGAATAGGAAGAGGCGGGTGACTTTGGCTGACACTGATCCCCCTGTGGGGCTCTGTCTCCTGGTCTGCACAGGGAGGCTTGACCTACTGATGGCCGAGGACCCTTTTAGGCCCCTGGTTCAGTGGCTCTAACTGCAGAATGCGTTTACCAGTGAAGAGGGTCCTGCAGAATCACTAGCTGACTTGAAAGACAAATTTTACGTCCTCGTGTCTTAATTCATGTATGTGGCCTTTGCTTAAGTAGGTATCGGTCCTTTAAAGGGGAAAATGGTTTTACCTGCTGGGCTGTATCTGGCACCCTTGTGTTGCCTGCCCATTGGGCCAAGCACTGTGCTGAGTGCTGGGATTACAAAGAGGAAGCAGACGTATCTCCTGCCCTCTGGTGTTAAACCGAGCCCTCCTCTGGGCTGATGACTGGTAATCCTCTTCCACAGAAGGATGAGTCCTGAAACTTGAAGAGGAATCCACGGCTGCTGAGTGAAGGGGCGCAGACTGAAAAACGGCCAGGATAGATTGGGGTTTCACTTGTATAATCTTGAATGCTAGACAGTTTAGAAGAATAGCTTACATTTCTAGTCGTGGAGCCAAGGATCACCTAAAGTCCAGCCTGTGCTTGGACGAGGAGAGACTAATGTGAACTAGGAGAGTCCAGGCATCAGAATGTCAGGGACTTTTTCGCATGTCTGTCCATTGTTCAAGTGCTGCTGGTCCTGTAAGATGAAATGAACCTTGCTTTGTTCCTCCAGGCAAGAAAAGAAATGGGTGGGAAGACAGGAAGGTGTTTATGGAAGAGCGAGGGAGAGGACTGAAACACCCAAATTCTAAAAATGAGCTTTTATGACTGCCTTATTTGGAAATGCTTATAATTTTGGCACAAACTGCTAAATTGTCCCATACAATAAAAATAGATTAGTATTGGTTTTAAAACTATATTCAAGGTGGAATAAGAACAAGCCCTTTGTTCTTTGATGTGCCTCCTCTGGTCCTTCCCTGCCTTCTCCAACAAGACTGTTTGGCAGGAATCTCTTGGAAGGTGGACGGGCAATAAAAAAGGTTCCGGGTCCTCTGTGGGCGTCCATCCAGGTGCTGGGGACAGGCGGGAGTGTTCGGAAGAACAGTTAAGGCTCACTTTCCACACCTTTCTGGCTCCCAAGGAGCAATTTAATCGATTTAATCGGAGCTGACCGTGGAGACGTATTGAGATCACTCCCAGAGGGCAATCTCTGTTTTTGGTCTAGCTGGGAAGCCTTGGCAGAATTAAAGCAACTGGGTTTATGCGCACATTAATGATGGTACGAACTCCCTAACAGCTGAGGAAGGAGAAGCAAGGGCCGGATGGATATGCGTGGTGTAGGTTAGTGGAGGCATCCGAAAGTGGGTGAATCACTGGCCTGGTGTGGGAGGAAGCCATGAATGTGGCGGTGACACATGGGCTCTCCAGAGAGAGACCAGCTTAAGCACACGGGCAGAGACGGAGTGAGGAAGATGTATCAGGGAGCAGGAAAAAACGAGGTTAGGGTGGGTACGAGGACGCTGCCAGGCTTGTCCTGCCTGGAGAGCTGTCTCTTTTTCTTTTTCCCTAAGTACAGCATACATGCTAGAAAAGCAGGCACACCGTAAGTGTGCTGTTCAGCACATTTTCCACACTCAGCATACCATGCCCTCAGATCAAGAAGCAGAAGGCTCCCTTCTTGTCCCTACCTCCTCAAAGATAACCCCCGCTGGCTTCCTAAGTGGTGTCCTGCACTGTCCATCTTCTTTCCTTATGAATTGAGTTTCTGAGCTTCACGCCTGCCCTTGTAAGGTGCTCACTCTCGTTGCTGATTTGGCCAGTTGCGTGGATTATATACCGTATATTTGTGTGTGCCCTGTTGATGGCCATTTGATGACTGTTTTTGCATCTGTCTTTGATGTCCATGCGTACGCATTTCTGATGGGGGTCTATGGAAGGGAGTGGTTCCTGGGTCACGGAATCCAGCGTGTGTACTCAGCTTTGGGAACCACAGGCAGAGCTATTTCATTCCAGTTTTGGAATAACTGCATTGGTAGTTCTTCGCTACCAGCTGATGATTGTGACATTGACTCTCAGTGGAGGAGACTGAGGCAGGAGTTGTACCAGGAGCCGCGGTCAGTCTGTGCTTGGCTGTGCCCTGTGTGTTCTCAGCATGTGAAGTCATCCCCTGATCCCAGGGACAGGCTGAGCTGTGGGGAGCCCTTTGGTTTCATGAGCCATTGTGGTGAGGGGATGGTGTCTCTGGCCAAACTGCTGCAAACACTCCTGGGACCTCTCCTCGCTTAGGTTTCCTAACGTCGCACTTTCTCTACTTTGTTTTTGCTTATGTGGCTTGCCTTCCCTGTACCTGTGGATTTCTACATAAGAATTCTGGTGTGTCCTAGAAGAAGGACCCATTTCTTGTTTGGTCTTTCGAGACCATACAAGACATGTTTGCGGAAAAATATCCAGCATTAATTTATTGGATGGTTCACCAGCTCTTAAACAGCCATGAATTCTTCCCCCTTTCAAGTTTTTAATATCTGGAATGAATGGTTCAGTATCATGGGATATGATTTGATTAACTTAAAGAGAGAAACATTGATACAAATAGCAAATTTGAAAAAAGGTCTTCTTTGATGGAATAGTAGGTCTGTGTTTTGAACATGAAGGCTGTCTTTGAGGCTGGGGCTCATTGTTATATTTAAAGACTTCTATGTATTGGGTTCAGAGCAGGAGCGGTTTTCCTGTTATGCAGTTCCTTCTTCCACAGCCTTCTTCTCTCCTCAGCTTCTCCTTTTTCTTTCTCTTCTGCCTCGTTCTTCACCTCCTTTCTGCTTTTCACAAACCTCTTGTTCTCATTTCTAATCTAGATCCCAGCAGCAAGAGAGGAGGAGAGAGTTGCGGTACTTTTACAAGGCCACTGACACCCTCTTCTCTTTGCTTGTCATTTTCTGCAATCAAGTCCTTAGTCCCCCAGGATTTTGGTTCAGGCTTCTTGCTTATTCTTCTTCTGGGCCGTCTCTGTCCAGTGGAAATATAAGCCAAGCCATATATATAATTTAAATTTTTCTAGTAGCTACATTTTAAAGGTTAAAAGGAAACAGGTGGATCAGTGTTTCAGTTTCCCAGGAAGATTAAAAACTTCTGAACTCCGATGTGCCTAATAATACAACTTCAAACTGTATAAAGTAAAAAGTGACAGAATGACAAAAAAAAGTTGACAAATCTGCCAGCATAGTGAGAGATTTTAGCATACCTCTTTCAGTAACTAACAAAACAAGCTAACTAAAAACCAATAAGGGATTGATCCAACAAACAGCACAGTTAACACATTTGATCAAACTGATTAAATAGAAAATATAGTTCCAGCAAGTGAAGATTATACTTTTACAAAAATTGAGCATACACCAGGTCATAAGTAAGTCCTAACATGTTTAAAATAATCAGTGCCATATAACCCAAGTTCTCTGAACATAATGAAGTTAAATCATGTATCAATTAAAAAATATAATTAAAAAAACATATTTGAAAATTTGAATTAGAAAAATTTAGATTTGCTTACAAAAAAGACAAATTTATTTACAGAACAAAAACAGACTCATAGAAAACAAACTTATGGTTACTCAGTGGGGATGGGGGTGGGAAGGGGTAAATTGGGAGTTTGAGATTTGCAGATACTGACTAATATATATATATAAGATAACCAACAAGTTTATACTATGTAGCACAGAGAACTATATTCAGTATCTTGTAACTTAGGGTGAAGAAGAATATGAAAATGAATGTATATATGTTCATGTATGACTGGAGCATTGGGCTGTCACCAGAAATTGACACAGCATTGGAAACTGACTATACTTCAATTAAAAATATTTGAAAAAGGAAATATTTAGATTTGAATGATTAAGAACTAGTAACAATGAAATATATATCAAAACTTGTAGAATGAATTGTACACCTTAAAGCTTGTGGGATGTAACTAAATCATTATTTAGAGGGAAATGTGTGGTCTTAATTACTCCTATTAACAAGAAAATAGGCAAAAATTAAATGAGCTAATTGGCTAAATCAAGAACATAGCAATTAAAATAGATCCAAGGAATCAGAAGGAAGTTTTTTTTAAAAAAGGTAAATTAAATTTAATAACATACTTTAGTTAATCCACTATGTGCAATATATTATGAAATCAATATAAAAATTGTTAGCAAGCTATTGTACATTTTGTGGTCATACTGTCTCCAAAGCCTGGTGTGCATCTTACACTTGTGTTAGAGCACGTCTCAGTTTGGTCTGGCCATGTTTGAATCACTCAGCAGCCGCACGTGGCTGGTGGCATCCTAGCCTATAAACGCTGAGGAGATCTATTTGGATAAAGGGGACAATTCAGAGTTAGCGGGTGGGATTTAGTTATTTGCCAAGTGAATTGAGGGTCATGGGAACCTAACAGTGTTTTGTGGTTGGCAGAGAGAGTAGACTCTTGGTGAAACTCTTATACTACCCCACTGCCCAAACAAACCCACATGCTCCAAAACAGAGACAGGACAAAACTGAGGATAAATACTGTGCGGACTCACTTTATCCTTACCTGCTTTAGACACTTCTATCTATCAGTTCATGAAGTTTTCACAAAAGCCATATGAGTGTGAGACCATTATTATCCCCGTTTTACAAATGAGAATATTGAGGCTCAGAGAAGTTAAGAAACTCAGAAACTGTGGTACAGAGACAGTGGGGGTTCAGACTCAGGCCGTCTGGCCTGGAGGTGATGGATGAGGCAAACGCATCCCTGTCTTTGCGGGATACAGTGCATTCCCACGCCACCCCTCAGAAGGGCTCCTATTGAATTCCTGGTTGGATTATCTGAAGTAGCTGACATGGCTGTGTTCCCTGGTCCATGTTCCTGCGCTCCCAGGCA